TTACGTTATTCGATCTATCGTCATACCTTTCATCAAATTTATCCATTTTACCTTTACACGGTGTATGGGGCGGGGTTCCAACGAAACCAGACTCGCATTCGCAGTGATAACTACCCCTCGTGTTGGTGCAAATCGATGCAGGTCCACACGGGTTCGAAAGACACTCGTCAACGTCCACGCACTCGGCTCCAACAGCTTTGAATCCGTTCTTGCAGAAGCATTGCTCTTCGATGCACTCGGCGTTGTTCACGCAATCGAAATTCGATTTGCAGAGCGTGGTCACGTCGGTCTAAAGGTGTAATAAAATTTAAAAAGAGGAGAGAACGAAAGAAAGAAATTGATTAAAGAATAAATCAATTACCTGTTCGCAGGCGATCGTCGGATTCGGATTGGCACTGTATCCCGGTGGACAGACGCAATTGTAACCAGGATCCTTGTTCTTGCAAATCGCGTTTCTCCCGCAAGGGCTCTCTAACGCTGTGCACTCGTCGATGTCTGAGAAACAATATATTTCTGATTAATGACAATTAATTAATGAAAATTGACCGATGAAGAAAAATATACAAGCACGGTATTTTGTCTTACAGAAGAAAGATGAAGGTAATAAAATCGATCAAACTTCGTTCTATATACATTTCCATAAAAAAAAAATATATAAGACAAGGGATCGGTTGTAAATTATATACAATTCTTCTAAACCCATTTTTCCGAACGAACGTATGAAAGAAAAAGAAAAGAGAAATTGTATAATATCGGTGTGCTAACCGCTGCATCCCTTAAAAGGATCCCCAGTGTAGTCCGTCTTGCAACTGCACACGAAGCTGCCAATCGTGTCGCTGCATTCAGCGTTCTCGCCGCAAGGGTTTGTCTCACATTCGTTCACGTCTGTTAATAAACACGGTTAATCGTGCAATGGCCATTAATCTAACCTATCGAATTGTTACTTGAAATTATGGGCTATTAAAGAATCATTATATATACTTCAGGATTATTATAATGAAGTGATAAAGATTTTAAAAATGATTGCTTCCTCTTTTTTTTTTTTTTAACAAGTTAGATGATGACTGACTTTCGCACAGTGTTAGTCCTTGACCGATGAAACCCTGGGGGCAGATACACTTGTACGATCCGGGCACGTTGATGCATCTCGCGTTCTCCGCGCATGCATCCGTTCGACCACACTCGTTCACGTCGATGCAACCGTGCGTCGGGTCCATCTGATAGCCTGCCCGACACCTGCACTCGAAACTACCCTCCGTGTTCACGCACACCGCATCCGTGCCACATGGTGCGCCCTCCTCGCATTCGTTTATATCTGTTAGTCATGGTTAGTTGATCTTTACTTTCCGCTCTCTAACGTTAAAAGATTCTACGTTAACATCGCTAATAAAAGCTTGAATATCCAACGAATGTGCAAAGCGCTTGATCTCCACGATCGAATCTTCGTTTTTTCATCTCCTTCTTGTTTTTTTTTTTTTTTTTTTTTTTTTTTTTACGATATGAAACGTTCGAACGTATTATAATAACGGACGATGCTTTCCTTCTTCAACTTGAAATTAGATTTTCACCTAAAAATATTTTGAACTTTTGGATCATCGAGATCAAGAGCTCGCTTGGACGTTAGAAACCTTAAGCGTCAAGATTGATCTTTCTAATTTACCATTCTTCAAATTGTATGTACAAAGAAATCGGTCGAATACATCGAATTTCCGTCGAAACGCGGCAAGAAAACGTTTCGGATAATAAGAAATCGAGTTACCCACCGTGACAGCCTATCCAAGGATCGCCGCTCGTTCCTTCCGGGCAAGCGCAGCGGAAACCGCCGTCCAGGTTGGTGCACTGGGCCGAACGGCCGCAAGGAGTGCGCAGGCACTCGTCTACGTCCACGCATTCCTCCTCGGGGTTGCCGTTATAACCCTCGGGACACTCGCATTTGTGCCCACCCGCCAAGTTGATGCACAGCGCACCCCTTCCGCAGGCACCCACGTAATTGCACTCGTTGATATCGATACACTGTGAAAAATCGATATACTCACAACCTCCTGCCTTCGAACGCAAAGTGAAATTTCTTTTGATAAAAAAAATAACTCGATTGAATCGTATACGCGTCCTAACTTTCCAGAATTTATTTGGATCTCGACGAAAAGACAGATACTGTATTTTTCGTTTCATTATACCAATCAAAATTGTTTAAAACAGTTCCATTCGGTTCGTCGTTTCACAACCCCCCTGGAAAAACTTACTTTATGTCGAAAATTACTCACAGATTCGTACGGGTCTCCCGTGAAGCCGGGTTGGCAGGCGCAGGTGTAATTCCCCGGGATATTGTTGCACACGGTGTTGTCGCCGCACGCGCCAGGTATCACGCACTCGTTCACATCCTCGCAATGCACCTCGCCGTCGCCGATGTAGCCGGGTTTGCATTTGCATAGGAAGTTGGAGGGAAGGTTGCAGCACTCGGCGTTCTCGACGCATCTCGCGGCGAATGCCGGGTTATCGCACTCGTTGATGTCTGCGGACACGTGTGAACAGAATAAAAAGGAATAAAAGCATCCGATACAACGTGGGGGAGGAATGATACGCACGTACCTTCGCAATGGAAACCGTCGCCTTGGTAGCCGGGGAAACAGGAACATTGGAAGCTGCCGAGAGTGTTCGTGCAATGCGCGAATATATCGCAGGGCCGGTATTTGCACTCGTTCTCGTCTGAAACGTTTGCATTTCCATGAGTTGTAGAAAGAAATCGGATCAATGACGGATAAAAAAGAAAATCGTTCTATCGACGATCCTGAAATGCTATTTATAACCTTATAGTCTTGCCAAGCATCTACTTTTTAATCGAAAAAAAAAAAAGAAAAAAAATTCATCTATCATTTTTCTAATTACTCGTAATTACTTCGTGTCTCGAGAAATTTGCATATCTCTCTAATATTTTCATACTCTATTTATATAAATACGTTAAATTAAAGAAGAACAGGTTTGGAGAGTTTCACTTACCCGGTACCTGACAATTACAACCACCGAAACCGTCGTTACAGTGGCACACGGAGCCAAGGCACACGCCGTTCAGACACCTGGTCCCGTCCTCCTTCGTGCAATCGTCTGAGAGAGAAAGAGAATAAAGAAAGGGGGAAGAAAGGAGAATAGAAAAAAATCAATTAACGATTCAACACTTGATCAATATCGAAAGTCTCCTTAGTCATCTCCTTCGCGAGAACGAAATGTCGCGGTTGAAGAACATCGTGGTAAAAAAAAAAAAAAATCGCCGATTACGATGAGTAATCGGTCCCCCTTCTCGGCTTACGTAACGCGTAACATCATCTTGAGGCGAAACGGCGCGGTCTCCAACGCGGCTCGCATAATAATAAAAATCAATGTCGATTAATCGGCGGCGGAAGAGCGTGGTGGAGAAACGCGACGACAGGCTGGCCGGTTCTCCTCGTAATTGCCGTGACGAGGCGATCGCGCTTGCGGTTTCACGCGGGGATCGGCGTGATCGGCGTCGAGAGGAAGGCGAGGGACGCGGGAAGAAGTCAGAGTTTCCATTCTTTTCCCCCCGCCTCGAAGGGGAATGTTTTCTCGCGCGAGTTCTATTCTCTCTCCGCCCGTACGGGAATTTCCATTCGTGAGAGAGGAACGAGAGTTTACCTGTACACTTTAATCTGTCGCGTTGCTCGTCCGTGCCTTGGTAACAGTCGACGTGGTCGTCGCACAGCTTGGACAATTCGAGGAGCTGCAGCACTTCCGTCGACTCGTTCACCTGGCACCCGAAGTAGCCGTCCTCCAGGTTCAGGAAGAACACTTCTCTTCTTGGTCCGTGGCCGAGTCCTCTCAGAGATTCGACCTGACCAATGTAATTTATTTTGTTTTATTTTTAGTTTAGTTTAGTTTAGTTACTCGAAGACACGTGACATGGCGTTATTGTGACAACGCTTCTTCGAAAAATCATCTTTGAATTGGCGATTACTCGTTTCGATGCAATGCTGTGTCGATCACACGTACTAAAAAACAAGGCAACGCGTATTGAACGCTTGCCACTATTTTAAAAACTATTAAAAAAGTAATAAAGCGAGAAACCAATTAAAATTCCATGGAGAGCGAGGTTGGTTTTAATTAAAAATATTTTCAACGACATTATATCTACTCGTTTTAACCATTCTTACCGGACACAGGAACAGAAGCGTCCACGCCACAAACGGCCAAAGGTGTTTCATCTTGGCTGGAACAGAAAATGATCGGGAGATCAGTCGATCGACATCTGTCAACGCGGTAGCTTTCTGCTTGGCGCAATAATACGGCACAATAGAATTCGATCGTCGTTCGCGATCAGGTCAAACACACCCGCATGCTTTTTCAACGATTTCCTGGATTACGTTCGTTCAATTACATCATCCAAGCGTCACACGACGAACATCATCTTCTGCGCGAGGATGAGTTAAAAATTTTTGACGCGAAATTTTGATTTGAGAAACGAGACGATGAAAAATTTATATATTTTTTCTTTTTTTTTTTTTTTTTTTTTTTACGATAAATCGAAAAATTTAGATGGAACGGGAAGAAACTACCCGATCGTTCTCACAGGTAACACGAGGGAGCCGATACATGGAACACCTGTTTCCAGCCGTGTGTGTCGGCATTCGCGACCCCCTCACGAATAAACCCGAACCTAACTGTATCAACTTACGTTAGCCCTGACAACCTAATTTCCTGGTTACGTGGTGTTTTGAAATTTAAGAAGCCGTTCCTGAGCTGTCGAGCACGAGGATAACTCGGAGCAACCCGTTATGCAATACGCGACAACGAAATACAAGAATAAAGGAATAAGTAAAACACGACTAAAATGTTTTTCCTTTTTTTCTTTCACCAGGGGCGAGGATTAATAAGAAAGGAATAATCGGAATATATATTTTTTTTATATTTCATAAAAGGAAGAGAAGAATCTTTATATTTTTATAAGGATAATTGAAATGTATTGTATGGTTTCGAACGATTCAAACTGAGATACAATGAAAGATTCTATCGTTACTTTTATATTATTGAGAATCGTTCGTTTTAAATTCCGCTCACGATGCTCGCGAAGAGATTATACAATACATCGCATCAATTGTCTAATATGGCAAAGAAGTTTAACGTGATTGATTAGCACAGATATATATATATATATGTATATTTAGAATATGGAACGCGAGTAATAGAGTAAGTAATTTTAGGTTAATTGGTTTTCTTCGTGACTAAAGATCGTCAGGTTTCGGTGCGTGTCTGATTATAGACATGCAAAGGAAATTTAACCTCCCTTCGAGCATCCGCATCTCGTCTTTAAGCTACCAAGGACGAAATTTAACCATTAAACACCTTTGAATATATATCCCATCATCGATGTTCAGAAATGAGAGAGATACAAGTTTAAAGCGTAGTATTAACCTTGGATCATTATCCTTGGATACTTAAGATAGTTAAGATAGTTTTGTGTAAGATAATAAAGATTTTATTGCGATACAATACTGTACGAAACGGATTTTTCAGGTAAAATTGAATATTTAAGAACGATTAAGAAATCTTCGAAATATTTCCAAATTTAAGCAATATTTTTACTCTTCAAAAATCTCTGAAATTCCTCGATCGTTCCAAAAGAGGCTAATAAATATTTCAGAAATCTTCTTCGATCATTGTCGAAGAGCCAAAAGATTTAAAATGCATTGAAAGTGAAGTTTTCAGTGTACATTCAAAAATCTCTGAAACCTTCCTCGATCGTTTCCAAAACATTGATAAAGTTTCAAAAATCTCTAAAACCTTTCTTAATCGTTTCCAAATAACATCAATAAAGATTTCAAATTTCAAAAATCTCTGAAACCTTCCTCGATCATTTCCAAAACATCGATAAAGATTTCAAAAATCTCTGAAACCTTCCTCGATCGTTTCCAAATAACGTCAATAAAGATTTCAAATTTCAAAAATCTCTGAAACCTTCCTCGATCGTTCGCAAAACATCAATAAAGAGTTCAAGTTTCAGAAATCTCCTTCCTCGTCCTATCGTCGAAGCGGATAATAAAGATTTGATTGCGGTGCGGCCTCACCGGAAGCGCAAAGTTTTCAGAGGACGGCGGTGCACGCGATTCGCGGAAGACGTCCTTTACGTGCGGCTCGGCTTATGGCGAACGCGCAGAGCGGACGCATCGTACGCGAGCGTACTGCTCGCCACGTCGCACAATAAGTCAGGGTTGGCGATCAACCGCGCGGCGAAATGTTAACGACTGTACGTGCAAGGAGAAGGATTCACCACGAGGGGGTGAGGGGAGGCGGGAGAGGAACCGTCGAGAGAAAGAGAAAGAGAGAAAGAGAGAGAGAGCCGTCGTGGAACGTCTCGAGCGAAAAAGAGAGGGACAATTAAGGGAACGAGAAGGAGGAGGAACGTAGAAGGATGATGGCCAGGAAAAACGAGCAGCAGAAGGAAACCGGTGGCGGAAAAAGGAAGAAGATCGCGAGGGAAAACGAGAAAGAACGAGTTGATGAGAGAGAGAGAGAGAGAGAGAGAGAGAGAGAGAGAGAGAGAGAGTG